TGGAAAAAAAAACCTGTCATGCTAGATATCTCGAAAACCGTCAATATTTTCGAAGTGCAGATATACATAAAGTTTATTTTATTTTCTATGAAGAAACCGAAAAAGCGATAAAAAATATAGGTTGCCATTTAAAAAGACACAGTTGGGATCCGCCCAGAAAAAATCGAACACCCTGTGTGACCGCCAATATTTTTATTTTGTCGAGCTCGAGCAATAAGGTAATATTATAGAAAATTAGATTCCTATCTACTTCCTATATAGAGATATGGAACACCGCGCCACTGTTGCAGGACCCTGTATAGTACATTTTAGAGACAATCCTCACTACAATATTAATCGTGAGAAGTGAAATTATATTCATAAAGTTTCTATTTTTCTCAAAATCCCTTTGGAGAATATTTTCCTTATTAATTTGTCATAATCGAAAACCATTTATGGCCTAACAAAAACAAAATCTACTTGCAAAATAGATAACAGACATTGAATGTACTATTGAAAAATAAAGAAAGTATTTCATAATATTTAATTTATTGCCACTGACTGATACATGGTCTTCAGTCTGTACTTATTAGATCTTTATGATTCCATATCCTTCCATACCATGCTTTTAGTATAGAAGTTTCTTGGTCAGTGTCTTAAAAATATGGAAATCTTACAATTGGAATCAAGAGGAAAATATATTACATTTATATGGCTATTTTATCATTTGGCCAACAGATAGGTCTTTGGATAGGTTTTTGGAGGAAATTGAAAAATCCAAATATAATAATAACGAGATTACTGAGATTTGTTTTATTTTGTCTCAAACATTGTAGTAATAGGGACAGAGAACAAGTCAAGTCCTACAGGTTTTTTTTGTTCAAGATCTGTATGAGTACAATGAAGTTCCAGAACTTGTAAAAAAATATCATACACATTGTCAGTTCAGAAGGCAAGCTAACTGCCTATATGACTGAAAACTAGCATTTTTTCTCAATACATTTGATGAATAGGATAGATGTTATGAAATTAAAATAGGTATTTGAACTATATTGTATTAATTTTTTTAAGATAAAGATTGATTGAATGAGATACTTTGTCACATATTTGGTTGAACATTTTACACATAGTACGGAAATATTTATTATTTCTATAAATAAATAAAAACATTTAATTTATGGTCAAAGGAGGTATAAGAAAAATTAATAGAGGTAACAACTTTAGCCAGTTAATGTGATAGTTTGTTAGTTAATAAATAAATATATAGAAATAATATATTCTACAGTCATCCATAATCTGTTCAACAACAAAGATGAACTACCAACCACTTCAGAGAAGAATAAATAAATTATCTCAAATTTCATCAATTCAGTTTAATATTTCAACAGTCTCATTACATTATATTCAATCAGCTTGCATTAATTGAAATTTATTTTTAGAATACCCCAATTTTCTCATGACAACAATCAATTCTAATTGCCAATTACTAACTCGAATAAATTTAAATTCATTACTCATTAAAATGATTATCATTGATAAAGGTGAATTGAATTTCAGATGTCTGGCGAATTTACTGGCAGGTCTTGTGGCTTATCAAGAAGAAATTGGAACAAAAGTTGTTGATAACGTTTTGGAAGACATTAGATTGGGTATGGAAGTGAATCTACCAAAATTCAACCAGCGAAGAATTGCACAAGTCAAATATTTAGGTGAATTGTATAACTATCGAATGGTTGAAAGCTCCGACGTTTTCAAGGTGAGTGATTTCTCAGATTGATATAAATATCAGCTATTAATAAAACTGTAAACATGTAAACAATAAATTTGAAATTTTTGTTCAATTCATTCCATAGATTCTCTATTCCATTATATCATTTGGGGTGTCCATGGATCCAACAGAAATATCTCCTTTGGACCCACCAAACCAACTGTTTCGAATTCGGCTGGCATGTGTCTTACTGGAAACTTGTGGTAAGGAAATTTCTATTTTATTCAAGATTTATTTTCACCATCATCTTTTACAGAAAAAATATAAAAGTTGTGCTTTTCATTTTGAGAAATATGAAATGATCTAAAGATTGAAAAATCATTTTTGTACCAAGTAGTCTGTATAAATCAATGTTCTGGGCCTATCATGACGATAAATATTTCTCGCACCAATAACTGAGCATGATGTGTACTCTACAGTTCTCGAATTTGATGTGCTACCTGTACTTTTTAATGCAAATACTTGAGGAGTATGTGCATGTTGATTTTATATACATATTACTTCTCGAAAGCTTTTGATAGAGTTCCACATAGTTTATTTTTGTACCAAGTAGTCTGTATAAATCAATGTTCTGGGCCTATCATGACGATAAATATTTCTCGCACCAATAACAGAGCATGATGTGTACTCTACAGTTCTCGAATTTGATGTGCTACCTGTACTTTTTATTGCAAATACTTGAGGAGTATGTGCATATTGATTTTATATACATATTACTTCTCGAAAGCTTTTGATAGAGTTCCACATAGTTTGTTTCTTGACAAATTATGTACATTTGGTATCACTGGTAACAAGCTCAAATGGTTTTTACCAGTTATTTATTGGGTAGTTTTCACATAGTTCGCTTACATAACAGAGTTTTTGAAGGATGTGTAATGATGCTACTACTTCGATAAGGTTGATAAACTTAGGGCAGAATTTTTGGGATTGAGTGGAAGCACATTTCAGTGAAGGTCTTGTCTCCAAATGAATGAACTCCGCCTTTTTCTCTTGTTTATTAGGTTAGGTTAGGTCCAAAGTGAGTGGGTGTATTCGACCCTCCACCGCAACCCGCAAGGGTTTATTGTGTCTCACACCTATTCACACTCGACCAAATAAACTCAGCTTCTCAACAAAGCCGATTAGTTTGTATGGTGAGTGGTCTTTCAGGTCAGATGGTAAGAGTACGACTCTGCCGAACTCTAAAAACCTGATTCGGTCCCCAGCAGACACAAAGTATGTGCTCTGCTGTTTCATCATTTTCCCAGACAGGAGCGATACACACTGTCTCCGACAGTCCGAGTCTCTGCATATGATCATTCAAATGACAGTGACCTGTAAGAAGGCCTGTTACACATCTTAGTTCATCCCTACTGTAGTTCAACAACTGTTTGGTATCAAGCTTTGAAGGGTGAATAAACGCCTTGGAGTGAGTAAATCCTGGAAGATTTTGACAGAAGTCCATAAATCTTCTTGCCATCCAGGTGTTCAATCTTTGTTTGGCAAAGTCTAAAGCGATGCCAATGACAGGTTCTGGTCCGATGAAGCTGCTTGCAGCACCTTCCTTTGCAAAGGAATCAGCAGCCTCATTTCCTTCCAAGCCAGTATGGCCAGGAATTCAGACCAGAGACAATCTTTTAAGTTTTCCTATCGAGGAGAGCTTCCAACACCGCTTGACTGTCCGAGAATATTTTCATTGACTTATGTATGAGGTTGGATTCTCCCAGTCTCTCCGCACACAATTCAATAGCGTAAATTTCCGCTTGAAATAAATGAAATACAGGCCCATAGGTTTCTAGGCAGGTCCTTGTTTGTAAGCTCATGGTGACAAATATGAAGTGTATGTATGTGAGAAACAAAGGCAATTGTTATTATTATACCTGTGAAATCGGGAGTGCCACAGGGATCCCGTTGTGGACCGGAGCTGTTCTGACTATTCAGCAATGTTATCAACTAATATGTAGTGAAGTGTCCAAGGACGTATATCTTTGAAATGACCTGAATGCCAATGCTGATTGGTGTGGAGTTAATTGCCTGTACCCTAATTCAGGCAAATGTGTCTATAGTTTTTAGTAGATCACAGTCTCCAGATTATTTCGATTTAGGAGTGGAATAAGATGGTACATGTGAGAAAAGGTGAATGTTATCATTTAGGCATAATTCTAGATAACAAACTTTGTTTCAACTTCAGTGTAATTGCTTTTCGAGTTTGAAAGCCGTGGATTTTTGGAATTTCTTCCTGACTTTTCGCTGGCGCGAGTGGCTAGCTTCTTCAGACGTTTAACCATCATGGCTTGCTGTCCGATGACTACCTTTTAGGCTTCGTAAAGAGTATTTATGCCTTGTCAGGTAATCAGTTGTATTTGTACCTGTACTTGTACCTGCACTTGTACCTGTACTCGTACCTGCACTTGACCTTGGAACATTAACAATCTTGCTGCCTGTTCGTTATTCTAGAATTCCTTAAAATGGGGTTCCATATTTGATTGAGGTTCACCACTTCTTCTTTTCTGTTGAAATTCTCCTTGTGTTTGTGGATCTCTATTGCCTCCCATACCAGTCGGCTATGGTATCCCTGGTTGGGGGCAATTAGTTCTGTGTTTTCAAACAAAATTATGTGGTCTCCTTCACTAAGTGCATGTTCTGCCACAGCTGACTTGTCCGTTTGGCCTAGTCTGCAGTTCCTTTTATGCTCTTTTAGTCTTGTTCCCATGGATCGTTTGGTGGTTCCGATATATACCTTTCCACAAGTATGCGATAGACCCCCGCTGTTGATAATGGGTCTCTTTTGTCTTTAGCCGACCTGAGGCTTTGTTGTTTCTTCCTCGTGGGTTTGAAGACTGTTTCGATGTCGTGTTTGCCAAATAGTTTCCCAATTCTGTCCGTGACCCTAGGGATAAACGGTAGATATGCGCATGCAACCATCTGATCCTTTTTCGCTTTCTGAACCATGGTGCCCTCCGGTTTCATGACTTTTCTGGTCTCGAAGACACTATATCCATTCGATCTCAAGGTCACTTCAAGGTATTTCAGTTCCCTCTCCAGATGTTCTAGTTCACATATTTTCCGAGCCCGTTCCGTTAGAGTTAAGATGAAACTCGAAAAACAATGACACTGAAAACCTCAGCCGTGAAAGTCTAAACCATTTTGTTTGTTTCAACTACCGTGTAGACATGATATCTCAGAAAGCTCTAAAAATGCTTGGTTTCCAATGTAGATTTTGGTACTGTAATCCATATTACATCAAACACATTCATAGTATTGAAACTGTGAAAAATACATTTTTAAAATATGTAGCTGATTAATTAGATTTAGTAGTAGGTGAATGTAATTGTAATGAAGTTAGGAATATAATATCTCCACGATGCTTTCAGGATCGTCCGACAATTGCATCATTGACATTTTTTTATGAACTTCATCAGGGCACATCAATTGTTCTGAAATCCTTTCACTAATATCTTTGTTTATTCTAAGTGAACAAACGAGGCATAAAAACTTATTTTATGTACAATACCATTCAACATATGATTATTTAGACACTTTCGTGTATGTTAAGATTAGGTTATGTTTTTCCAACAATTTGAATTCATTGAAAAGTCAAATGAGTCATTTAACTCTTGTGATAACATTTTTAATGCTTTGTAAACTGAATTAGGGTTTTCGGGTTTGAGAATAAATAAATTGAATGGAAAAAAAATTAAATTGGTTGTCTAATGGAACTGGCCTATACTTGATAAAAATCCATTGTAACACTTTATTGTGAGATTTTCTATTTACAGTTTACAAAATCGCGACACGACTTTCACTATACAATAGCTTCTTTAGGGTGTGTTTACTACTAACGTAGTTAGTAGGTTAGCACTCAACAGTTTACAAAACTGTAACACGTGATTCACTATATATTAGCTTAAGAAGCTATTAAATAGTGAAACACGGTTTTGGTTTTGTAAACTTTCAAGTCAGAATCTTATGATAAAGTATTAAATCCGTTGGTAATAATGAAATCCTAGTGTTTGTGTGGTGATCTTGAGCATAAACACTTGAGTTTTATCATTTTATTAGAATAAGTTTGAAGTTTTCTATTACTTTCTTGCAGGTACTTATTTCAGTAGCGGAAGCAGTAAAAAAAAACTTGACTACTATTTAGTGTTTTTACAAGCTTACTACTGGTACAAGAAAAAGCTTTGGCAAGAATCATTTCCTCCGATGTTAGAACATCTTTTTAAAGAAACTTTGACAGCTCTCAGACCTAAACTGAAACTGTGTAAAAGTTACGAAGAAGCTGTAGAAGAGGTGAATAATATTCGTACCACCCTCGGTATTGAGAAACTATTGGAGGTAGACAGCACAGTGTTGGATGAAGATGGGTTGGATACCATAGCCGAGGCAGACAACGAAGAAGGTGTGGACGACGAAACTTCTGAGGGAGTAACTGGACCAATAACAGACGATACCGCAACTGAAGATGAAACAGTTGATAATACCCAAGGATCAGATGATGAAGGTAAGTGATTTTTTTGTAACAGTGTGCAGTGGTGGCTATATACAATATAAATGATGAATGTATATGTTTGTTGCCTGTGAAACATTTTTTCTTTATCCAAAAAAAAACACTGTTTGGAAACCGGGCTTGTTTTGGATTTAATATTTGCCAGAGATTCCAGTTCTACCTTTAATATTAATATTTCTTCTTAAAAAACAGATCATTAGTATATGTCTGTATAGACACGAATATCTGTGTATAAACATACATTTATAATCAACTTTCAAAACTCCTTAATTTTAAATGCATTCAGAGAGAGAGAGAGAGAGATATGTTTAATGTCATAAGAAATACATCTTATCGACAAACATTTTTCTACTAAAAAACTAACTATAAATATTAATAAATTGTTAAGTACATATATACATGTACAAACTAATAAAAGTTGGTGACATAGTTTATTTCTCTCAGTATGATGCAGTGGTCCTATATTTACTGGACTGTTGGAAATAAATGATCCAATTTCCGTATCTTCTTATCAGTAGGACTTTTTTGCATCTTTTTGTTTTTATATCTTGTTTTCTGAAGAAAAACTAGGTATTAAGTTGCATCAATCATAATTGGTTTTCACTATCACAAATAGGCATCAAATACCACTTGGTCAGATTGCAGCTTATAATATTCCACACAACTACATATAAATTTTATCTTTTAATTTGACGCTTTCACCAAGAACTTTTGCCTTGAACGTGGAGCAATGAAAACACAACTACCTGGGGCTTTATGTATACACAATGTGATCATTTGCTGTATGAAAGTGATGATTTGAATAATCCTTTCAATCAGCATTCCATTTCTCTATTCCAACTATAGCAAAAATTATTAAGAAATCAGTCAAAGAATGTTTAAAAAAAATTTTAAACTTTCACGATATTTTAAACAAATATTGGTTTGGGACCATCAGAATTAAACTACAGATTTCATCTATTAGTGGTTTGATCTGTTTTAGGTGAACCAAATACAAGCGAGGCAGAACAAGATCCAGTATCAGAATCTTTAGCCATTCCTAAAGGCCCAAATAGGGTAGATTGTCCAGAAGATGACGAGTTTTTAAACGCACTAGATAAAATGGTTTCTGAAAATATCCAGGAAAGAATGAAAGAACCTATTAAAGCTGGCAACGTTGACATTTCGGTTCCGGTTGTTATGAAATCTAATGTCAAGAAAACTTACGAACAACTTCAGGTAAGTGATGGAATCGGCTGATATTTGATGACAACCCATAATGTATTCAAGAAACACTTTATTGTGAGATTTTCACTACACAGTTTTACAAAATCGCAACACGTGTTTCGTTATACAATAACTTTTTCAGATGTCTCTATACTAACGGAAATATACATATTCAATAATTTATATATATTTTTACAATTTGAAGTAATTGAATTTTACATACCCAATTAATGTTGAAAATGTGTACCCAAGTTCAAGAATGAATCAATTAACACCAACATAAGAAAAAAAATTGTACAAACTTATTTAAATAAACATGTCATGAATTAAATTACCTGAGTCAATGTATTAGTTAATAACCAGTTTTCACATTTGAAGAAATGTTCAGTAACAGGGAGTTATTTAATTCTATTTGGTCATTTTGTAAATGATCCGAATTCTTAAATCTATGTATTTCTAAAGATTCTAAAAGATTGAGTTTCAAACTTTTCTAAATGTAATATGTCATAGTTATGATTGAACTCATGTCCTTCTGCTTAAAAATGGTTTGCAAATGTGGAATTGGTCTTTCTATTCAAGAAACTACTTCTATGATCTTAAATTCTTTGGGAAAATGTTCTCCTTGTTTGGCCAATACTTCAGTTAAAATCCATTAGCATTTTGGCTCACGCTTATGCCTAATATCCTGAGGTAGATAAGTCTTCTCAAATAATTTGGATACCATTCATTACGCGTTATCTGTTTTCATATGTTTCTATGTCTGTAGTATCCTTTTTTTATTTTCAGTGCCTTTAAGTTCTTTTCTTTGTTGTCCCACTATTGTGTTCTTGATCTTCCTCGATTTCTTTGTTGAGGTGTCGTGTTAATTTTCTCATCATCTCTGTTGATGACCTTTTCCTTATGTGTCCTATCTTTTCTAACAATTAAGATTTGATTACTTTCAATATATTTCATATCCAGCTCTTTTTTTGTTTCTTTATTTCTTTGTCTTCTTTCTCCTTCTGAGGTGATATCAGGACCTAGAAGTGTTCCCATTATTTTTCTTTCCAGAATTCTTAAGTTTTTGTTTGTTTTTAATATTCATCACCGTTGTAGCCATTGCATATGTGAGGATGTTTTGTATATCTTTAATTTTGTCTAGTTTTACATTTTTAACAATATTCTGTTTCTTCTAAAGACTTGGTTTTCTGGCCTGAATCTATTTTGATAGTCTGCCAGTATTTTTCTTATAGTTTTCGATTTCCCTGTAATTATATTTGCAAATTTTTTATATAATGAATGTCAAAGAAATCATTGTTCACAAAGCCATTCAGTTGTTCTGGAATAAGAAATTTGAATGTTTGTTTGAAAGTGGTTGACAATTTGATAATTCATATTGCAACCTCTGGCGTAAAATGAATCTATTGAAAACACTTTCCCAACAAGAGAACAAAAAATACAGTTGCTCGACGCACGTTTCGCTAACCAAGGTAGCGTCCTCAGGAGATCATTGTACTGCTATGTTAGTGTTTTTATATCCTAGTGGCCAAACTGCTAGCTATTAGTATTACCTAACTGCACCAGTTAGGTATCAATCCTATGCTAAATTCTGTTATCAATCCTATGCTAAATTACCTGATTTAATACCTCTGATTTGTTATGTATTTCCTCTACGTTGGTGATCGTGATCATCTCTAATATTTAACGTTTTTTTTTTATTCCATATTCAAGAATGGTATTTCTTCGTTATTTTCAATTTCATACATGAATTTTGTACTTGCAAATCTGTTGTTGAGGCAAAATACAAAATCCTTTACCTTACTCATATTTGTATCTTTTGATACTGTTAATCCTGAAATTTTGTTGAACAAATTAATTGGTATTAGCGGTAATGCATTTTTATGATTTCAAAATTATTTAAGTGATAGGAAGCAATGTATTTCTGGAAAATGAGAAAATGTTAATAAAAAACATTGTTTGTGGAGAACGCCAGGGATTTATATTAGAACATTTACTCTTTCTCATTCATATAAATTCATTTCAGAATTCCAGCTTTCTGTAAAGTTAATACTATTTGCTGATGATACAACTTTGATCTATCTCAATGAAGATTCACAATTGGTACACCAACAAATTAACTTCGAATTTTGAAGATCTTCATTTGTTTTTCAATGAAGAGCCCTGTATGACGACTTCCAGATTAGTGAATTCACTAGTTCGGAACATATGAATTGATTTGAAATCCCTGAAACAACTGAAAAAGAAGAATTAAAAATGAATAGCTGAAAATAACAAATATATTAAGCAAAAATAACCTGAAATGAAATAATAGTGAAATAAAATACAAGTAAAAATGGAACGATTGAACAAAAATTAAAATTAAAGAAATAAAAATGAAAATAAAAAAGTTAAGGGATTCGAAGCCACATTAGTTCACGACGTTTCGATTGTTAGTATCTACAATCGTCTTCGGATTGATGTGATTTGAAAAAAGTTAGCACCAATCATTGGTATTCTATATAAAATAGGATAACATATAGTTTACAAAATAAAGTCTTGAAATGCATTTTCCATCTACTTTTCTTAGAACCAACTAAAAATCTATATAATGAGTCTTTTTCCTGAGAATACTATAGCAAACGTGTCACGAGAGGCAGCACTAGTAGTAGGGACAAACAATAAACTATTCACATGTAAAACAGTGTTATTTACGTAATATCAATTTATCATTTAAAAATATAAATCTGATATGAAAAATTATTTTATGCTAGTATAATGCCAACAAAGCTTTGCTGTTTTGCGAATTGTACGTCAGATAATCGATATCCGGAAGAAAACATGTTTTTTATACCATGTATAAAACCTCATAATAATGAGGTTAGATGTAAGAAATGGATACATGCTTCGAGGAGAGTGGATTTAACAGTGCAAAAAATAAATATCCATATGTATGATATAAACATGAAATGAATAGTAAATTTTTCATAGTTAATTACCATTGATTAGAATGACATATAACCTCAATCCTTTATTAAATTATATTCATTTATTATATTCAATTAAATTTATTTCATTACCATCTATATTTGATTCATATTTCACTCGGAAATAAATCTGAAATCAATAATTATTTTAAATTCATTTTATTAAAATTTGAATCTACAGCTACTCTTTTACAAGAATCTGTATACTAACCTGTCTATTAATTCACTTTTTTTTTCAGTTACTTTTAAATTACGGCATGCAAGCCAACATTTTAATGTTACAACATTGTTATCCTTTACAGTTGCAAATTTTAGTATTGCTCCAGGAACATCTTCTGTTAAAAACATCTTTTTTAATTGTACTCTACCATATGTTCATATGAGGATTATGCAGTGTTTGTCCTTACCGAACTACTAGCGCTGCTAGTGAGTGATTTTTCGTACTTCAGGAAAAAGGTTCATTGCGTTTATTCGACATTAATCCTATTTATAAATCAAAAGTATGTACCTTTCCGCAGTCCATTATAAAGGATAAAAAACATTCCACTACGAAATTTATGTAACAGAAATGTACATGATCATCAAACAAGACAGCTCAATAAACACCTAGTGAGAACGAACAAGGGAAAATTGGTTTCGTTTTGATGGTACGTAAAGGCAATAAGCAGCAGTACAAGCAATTTGAGGCGGAGATTGATTCAGAATTGGCCCAAAATTTAAGAGATCAAGAACAGGTTCAGAAAGAAGAAAAGGAGAAAGTAAAACGACTAACATTAAATATTACTGAAAGGTTTGAAGAAGAAGATTATCAGGAGATGATTCAACAACAAAATAGACCTGTTACACAAAACCTAAATAGAGAACGTAAAAAATATCAACATCCCAAGGGGGCCCCCGATGCCGATTTGATATTTGGTCCAAAGAAAGTTCGGTAGGAAGTGACAAAACGAAAATTGGGTTTCAAACATGTAAGCATTACGCACTTTGTTGAACAATGCGATTTTTGGCAGAATAGAAGAATGTGACCCCAAGATGGAGTTTCCTTCAAGAATTTCAAGGGATCCTGTAACATTTTGATTCGGTGAAATAATATATGTTTCAATGGATTAAGGCAAAAAATTCGGAGTAAATTTTTTATTTTATTTTCAAACATACTTTGGACTTATTAGGTAGAAAATGCAAAGCTTTTTCCAGCATACGTCTCACTAAGACTTCTGAGATTCACTTAGCCTGATTGTGGTAAAAGCAGTATTGAAAGCCTTTTTTTGTACTTCTCTTATTAAATAAAATACTAAACAGGAAATACATTTTTGCTTTTCTTTATTGAAGCACATGATTTAAAATTGGTATAAATATGACTACCAATCAGACATCAATAAATACAAAAGTACAAAAAACTAATTCTAATCAGCATCTTGAAATTCCTCTTCTTCATCATGTCCATTTGTTGTCGTAATTTGAATGTCATGGAAATTGTCACGGATTCTTCTTGTGAGGTCATCTACATCTGAAAAATAATTTTTCATGAGGCAAGAGATACACAGACTCATCAGTAGATTATTATAATAGTTCTATGACTGAAATATCCATTTTCCAATTCAAATCTCCAGGTCAGACTTGTTAATTTTATAACTAGATGTCTCCAAAAAGTCATTAGAATTATCCAAAAACTAAATCTACCCAAAACGTTGCTAAATTTTTGTCCGATTCAATTGAACGCCACAAAGATGTTTTTGATGGTCGCCAGGGTACGCTCATTTTGACCCTGATAAAACAGTAAAATTGACAGTTGACTAATAAAATTGCCATAGCAGCCGTGATTAATCACGTGTACAAAGATAAAAAAGAGACCAATTGCTGTCACGTTTATTAAACTCGGCAGAATTAAAATATGGACAGATGGAAAAAGAGGCATGTGCTATAATTTTCTGTGTCAAAAAATTTTTTCAGTACTTGTTTGGCAAAAAATTCCAAATTTTTACAGACTGCAAAGGTGGGCACACATACTGTCTGCTTTTGACACTTTGTTAATTCTGAAAATAATCATGCAGATTTTCTTTCACGATCACCAGTTGGTGGTGAGTGTGAAAGCATCCCAAAAATGTCATATTAACATTGTCATGAAAAATACGATAGTATTTCATATTTAAGTTTTGTATAAAATCACAATATACCTCTAAGGTTCAACGAAATAAAACTGGGCATACGAAAGGATCCACTTGAGTCACTTTTGAGTAAAATAATTTCTTACGTTTTCAATGGATGGCTAATAAAATGTACGAAGTCGAATATGCAACAATATGTTTTGCTAAAAAATGAGCTCAACGTCGAGCAAGATTGTTTACATTGGGTACACAGATTAGTTATTCTGGGGAATTTCAAAATTATATTATTAGACAATTACACGAATCCCATATGGGTATAGTAAAAATGAAGGGGCTAGCTCGATCTTACTTTTGGTGGCCGGGCATTGACAAAGATATAGAGAAATCGCGAATTCTTGCTAAATTTGTGTTAAATTTTCAAATTCTCCACCAAAAACAAGTTTAGCCGTTTGGGAATGGTCAAAAGATGTTTGGACAAGGCTCCATTTTGATTTTTTTCGGACCTTGTTTAGGTAAATACTTTCTCATTTTAGAAAATGCAACTTCAAAATGGATCGAGTATTGCGAAGTAAATAATATGTCGGCTTAAATCACAACACGAATTTCATGGAACACATTTGCAAGGTTTGGTTTACCAAAGGAAATATGTACAGATAACGCCCCAACAACACCCTACAGCCCTCACACAAACGGTAAGGCCGAAAGCGCTGTTAAAATCATGAATAAAGCAATTTTGAAGGGTCATATTGAAGATACAACTGACGTGAATTTTGTAATAAAAATAGGTCTTTTTGCAGTATTGAAACACTTCTCACTCTACTATGGGTGTGGAATCTTTAAAATTACTTTTGGATCGAAGACTGCCATCGAAAATTGATCTATTACTCTCATCAGTTGAAAACACATGAAGGACTACAAATCAAATTCTCAAAGATGGGTAAAAGGGCACATTAAAAAAAGATCGGTTCTAGAACATATTTAGTGTCTACGGTTGATGGAGAAATGACTTGGAAAAGGCATACCAATCAGTTAAGATCGAGAATTAAAAGAAAATTGTTTCAAGAAAATGGTCAAATTCTGAAAAGTCAAGATAGTGAAAATTGTCCTAATGTAAACGACAGTATTTTACCACCATGGCCAGAAAACACTAATTTAGAGATACAGTTTTTTTTCTGATTGATTTGGCCGTTACTTGATGAAGATCAAATCATAAGGTGTAGTTTATGAAAATAGAGTCAAGTGACCGTCAAACCGACATTTCAGAAAATCACCAGATTAATAGTGGCAGATGTCTGTGGAGATGGAGTAAGTTGAAGCCACCAGAACGATTTACTCCACTGTTAAAAAGTAACATGTATTAGTGTCTACTATTTCTATTAACGTGTATTTTCTATCAGGAAGAGATTACATCACATCTCTTCCTGATAGTATATTAGGGAAAACTTTAGAGAACTCTCCTGCACTCAGACAGGTAAAAAAAGGATCTCCTGCCTGAATGTATAGCAGACCGAATATGTTTTCTTTCAGTAATAAATGAGCAGCATTAAACATTTGTTTACTTATAACCTGAAAACACAAAAATTTCCATTCAGAGTATTGTTGATGTTAAATAGATATGTCACGTATATAAGTTGAGGAGAGATAACTTGTCGATATTTGTTGAAAAATAATGGAAATCCATATTTTATATGACTAGTGACAAAATTAGGATGAATATAGTGATAATTTAATAGAATAACTAGTATAACTAGAATAACCTAACAAAATTAACAGAAATCTAGTGACATTTCGATGAATCTAGTAACAATTCTGAGAGTAATTCAAAATTTAATGATGTAATAAAAATCTAAAGAATTTTCAATACCAATAAATCTGGAGGAAAACCAAAGAAATCTATAGACTTTTTGGTTAAATCTAGTGACTATTTAGGTAATATACAAGTATGACCCACTTTTTTCTTATGGATTCACATAGGTAATCATTGTATTGTCTTTATTATCCCAAGAAACATTGAATGCTTCTGAATAGTGATTAACTACAGATACAAATTTAACAAAATAATTAATTATTGAACAGGAAAATATTAATATTTCTAGACGCATTTCACTAACACAGTAGCTTCCTGGGTAGAAATGAATAAGAAGCTTTTTGCAAAATAAGTAGAAAAGATTTCAGAAATTAAGGGTGGGCGACTTAAAAAACTGAAATTCCAAAGGCTTTGGAGAACAAGTATCAGAAAGATTTGATCAATAAATAATAAATAGAGTAAAATTATAATTCCAATACAGCTTCTCAGGTGTAAAAAGTATTAAAAATAGGTTCATTTGTCTCTAATGAATTCAGGGGCACTGTTTAAACTGAGCTCAGCACTTCACATTGAAAACCCAGATGTCAATTATTGAATTACCATATTTGGTATTACAAGAACCAAGAAGTGGGTGACATCTAGGTTTGATAATTCGAATATCAAACTTAAGGAAATCATTGATTATTATTACCTTAAGGAATCATGGTTACAAATATTCCTTAATGCGATATATCACTATTTTTTACAATAAATTCAAATGATATTGTTCAGTAAGCCAGTATGATAATTATAAAATATATAAAAAAAGTTTGAATGAAGATGTGTTCAAGTCGAAAAAGTTTTAATGAAACACTGAAATAATTACTGTAGGTGGACTTATTCATGGTTATGAAATATTTCAATAAGAATAAGGACTGAGTTGTTTTATTAAATTTAATGATAAGTAGCTTTTTTAAAGTCTAGGTATTCAAATTAATTACAAGTCCATTAAATGAACTCATTTCTCCATTTAGCTTTTTGCAAGGCTTCATCAACTTCTTTATTTTTAACAGCAATTACAAACAATTTGTTTGGTGCATTTTAAGTAGAATAAGTATACTCATAAATTAAACGATACTTTTTCGGGACTTTTTTATCCTTTACTTTCAAAATACCCGCAGATGAATACAAACAACCGAAAAGTATTCTACCTTTCTGTCTTATACAGAGAAACACAAATAAACGGCGAAACAGTATAATATTCATTCTTGGGTAATAATGTATGTGTGTATATGTGACTTATCTTATTTGTATACATCTAAAAGATCAATAAATTGTCTTATCTTATCTTTCACACCACTTACATAGAATTGCCTCAAAATAACATCATATATAAATGAAAAAATCAAATAAACCAAATTACAATAATAATCATTTCCAAAGATAACTGTAAAAAATAATCTATAGTCTATTTCAAAAGAGTGTAGAGTAATAAAATCTCATTAAGTATTCAAAAGCGCTACAGGGTGATCCGTCAATAAATTCTGTCACTTCCCTAGTCCGCATTGCAAAATTATGTCGTTTCATAAAGAGCAGGTAGGTATCACCCTGTTTTAAGGGATTTGTCCATTGTTATCGACGGATAAATATAATAATCATTTCCAAAGATAACTGTAAAAAATAATCTAGAGGGGAAATATTTTAACAAAGTTTTTTCGACTTCAGGATCTGTTATTATGGTAGATTTTTCAAATTATGTCTGAAAGGCAATGAAGAAAGAGATCACACAAATTGTCTGGTTGTATATTGTGGTATAGAATATTCATTTTGATTTCTGAGACCTTTATCATGTGCACTGTGTCTATATGTCAATTAGGAGATATTGAGGTCACTGTTTGATCCTGCGGTTATGAACGAAATTAACTAGATTAATTATGTTGAACATTTTCTGCCACCAAATCTGATATATGAATTGGAGATACATGATTTCTGAATTTTAAGTTTAAAATAAATCTTGGACTCTCATTCTAAAATTTCTGTATTCTTGATAATGTAATTTGATTGAAATGTCATGTTTACATTTTCTTTATTAATGATAATATTTAAACAAATTTCACACTATAAATTTTATTTAAGTCGCATTTCACTACACGGTAGCTTCATCAGTTGGACACCAGTCCAACCGTGTAGGGAAATTCCATGACATGGAATAAAATTCATAGTTTGAAAATTGTATTATTATTATGGATAATGTTATTAATTTTCATCAAGTAACGGATCAATGAATTTATAATGGAATTTCCATTGTTTTCTAGAATTTTGCTGAGCTACCTTAAGCCAATAGCAGCCTCAAATGATATTGGATTTTGGAACATTTAGCCTAAGCAAATTTTCACATTTTGAGAGTAGGTTACTTACCAGCATCACCTCCACCTCTTTCCATAATTTCATTCTCCTCATTCAGTTCAGCTTCAGCGTCTTCGTAGAGATTGTCATCTTCATTTGTGCTGTCATCATCCATATCCATGGCAGGATCAGGATTCAATTCCTAAATATTGTATATACCATGAAACGTCTTATAGAATTCAATTTTTTTTCTTGTAACTGAGGTAGAAAACGTGACAGTGAGATATTTCCTTTCAAAGGACAAAGATGTTGAAAGATCCGTTTTTGTGAAATGACACTTTTTACAATGATTGTGTGCTCTGGACACAAATAAAAATAATCTTTTTTCTGCGGTTACATCCTAAATGGAATCGAAGCTTCACAATAACATTAGTATCTTTGTTTTATTTGTTTCCATTATTACAATATGAGAAAGTCATTGTTTTCAAGTCTCTGTTTCATAACTGAAAGTATAATTAAGAAAAGAAAATTGAAACTTTCTATGTTTTTTACCACTTTTATTTGTAACTTACGTTACTACAGTTTCGTCCCATAAGGACATTTTCAAAATTATACATTAGGTATATTTAATGTACATTAAATAAAAGTGTTAAAAAAACAGAAAGCTTCAATTCTCTTTTCTTCATTATGATCTCCTACCATGTAGTAATGGCTACATTCATCAATTTATTGAAAGTAAATGTTTCATCTCATTTAATCATATTTACTTCATAGAGTTAGGCCTATTATTCCAGTTTTGATGTGTTATTGTATTATAAGTAAAAGGTTTCATCTTTTATGATTCAACAGGTTCTACACCCATCAGGGTCTTTGTACCAAATAAGTACGCCACTGCAAGAGACAGATTAAGGCAAAAACGTCAGTCATTTCCGAGAATGTAGTGCCTAGTATTTTAGAATTATAGTATAATAATGATGATGAAAAAGTTTATTTGACCAAAAGTGGCTACTCAAATAATTTTTGGCATTTTCTGTATTCTAAATTATAAGTTATAAAAAATATAATTGGTGTAATATTGAAAGTCATTAGACAGATTTCAAAGAAGAGACAAAATATTTATTTGCTAGTAAGAATATATGATTTTCAAAGAGTGCATTCATTTCACCAACTCTGATCCACTAGAATAAAGGTTTGAAAGTATATCTATCTTTCTTCAAGGTTATAATGTTTAATTTCAAGACCTTTTTCAAGGAAATATAAGCTGTCAATTGAAAAAATCAATGTTTTTTCATGTTAGACACTTGAAAAAATTACTTTCCAATTATGATATTCAAATGTGGCTTAAAAGTTTTGATATTTGTAGTAACATAGTTTTGCAATAAGGTAGATATAATGAATACTGCTCGACCTCAAAACATTATAAAAATCTATTGCAACTTTACCTGACAGTGCATTATAGCCTCGTAAAGCTGTCTGACAACTTCAGTATCATCATTAGTTGAACTTGGTACTAATAATAATTCTGAACACTCATGTGATACTTCACAATAACTATCTTCACTGTCAGCTGCATCACTGTCATCTGCATCAGGCGATGAAGGATCTTCCCCTGAGAAATTCAAGATAACAAATAATTAGGTTCAAAGTTTTGAAAGATGTTCATAAGGTACCTGGCATATGAATCTTTCCTGCAACCACTACATAAACACATTCTCCTGGGTAAACAGAATCATCTTTCGAGATACCATGTAATACTATATTGGGGTACTCTATCGTTAGACCAACATCCCCGTTCCGTTGCCAACATAAAGTTCTTTAAAAAGGGTGAGTTATGTCTTGACAAATTTTACTATTGAGAAAAAACTTACTGCTCACTAACATACAGGGTTCCGTTTCCAAGATCCTTTTTTTCTAATACAACTCGAATATTTTCTTTCTGGTACTTAATATCTGATTCCGGATATTTAAATGAATTTATAATAACCATTTTTTGTAATTTTTGAAATCAATAAACTTAACAATGAAAACAAACCAATGACTACAATATAGATGAAGATAGGAACATGCATAGAACTAGCACAATTTTTTTCCTTGGTGTAATCGGCATCGACTACATTGGTGATTAGCCTCGTGTCCTGGGTAGGCAATGTTAATAACTCCCTGAGCCACCTACGGAGCATCATGACTATTCGCAGTCCGTCAGCCATGTAATGTTGCAGAATCATCCCAACTGAAAATAGGAACATGCGTTGTTCTTCTTCCCTTCTTCTAAATTTTTCTGGATATCCCGCCTTGATTAGTTGTCCACAAATCGAATTCAGGTGAACCGCAAGGTTCCACAATCTGAAAAAAATAGAAATTGTAATAGAGAACTTCTTACAAGTGTAAAAGGGCAAACTTCTAGTTTACTACAATAAGTTACTGTGCGCATTAGAAATATTTTTACGAGGAAACATAATCTGTTTATTGGAAACCAGCAGCCGTAAAATTTTGCCTTAAAAAAGGTTATGAATTTAAATCTCTGAATCTGTATAGAAATATTATATTTTGTTTATGATGATAGAAGGAAGGTGAAAATCGAAAAGGTTATTGAAAAACTGATTTCCTACACAGAAAATGACTGAACCAATACTTGAAGGGACCACAATATTCTGTGATGGGTAACGGAATGCAGCCAATAACAAAAAATGAACGAAATGCATACAAAATATAAGTCAACAACACAGATCAACATCAACAAGATCAACAACAACAACAACAGTTTAATCTTCCTCTTGAAGATGATCACTTGGTGATTGAAACACGTGTCGAGGTGTTGAAAATAACGATTTGGTGTTGGGAAAAACTCCAGTAATATTCAGATCAATATAACAATTTAATCTCTGACATGGTGGTGGATGGACGTGTTGATAATGACCGTTCACAAAAGAAGTAACATGGACGCCATTGGGGGGGATATAAATCATTTTATATAATGATTGTCCGACGTCTGAGTACGTACATCGAACTTAAAAATATATATGTAGTGTTTGCCATTGATGCGATTATTTGTGCATGAGAAGAGTGAACGCTGGTTATAATAGCGCCGTAAAAAAAGCTGACACCAATGAGCTAGTCGAAGAAGAATAAGAACATAATATAACCTCAAACATAAAGTTGTTAATTATTTTGATAGCATTTAAGGAATTCCATCTTTTAATTTTTCCATCCTGAGTGCTTTTTATACGAGGCAGCATTTCGATTCGTGGTAATGGTAATGCTTCACAGCTGCCCTGAAGCGAGAAGAGTCTATACCTGCACAAAGAAGAATATATTGAAGAAGAAATGGAAAAATAAAGAATACAAATATATTAAAAAGAAGAAAAAATGAAGTACAATATTATGTAAAACAAGATTTTACTACTCCTTGGACAAAGTTTTTATTATAGTTATTACTATAATAAAAAGAGTACTGGTTATAATAGCGCCATTTCTGGAAGCTAGGACCAAAATTGAGAAGAAGAATTGTAATAAGCGATTTCGATTTATTGTTTTTCCTATTTCACCATTGTTATTAATAACGTAAAGAAGTTGTAGTCGTAGTATTATAGTCAATAGTATCTCACTGTTTGGATGAGAAAAGTTGTTATTTTTATCTACTTTATTTCAAAGATGGAAGAGAAGTACTATACTAATTAATTAAATTTAAATTAAATTTGGTGAGAACATCAGAGTCAAAGCAATAAAATATCGTGAGACCACAAATGGAGTTACCAAAGATTAGTTTTTACACAGAAATATCTTTAATGATGTTTGGGTTCGGAGACAGTCACACACCAAATCAGGAAACTGTTCTTCTAGTAGAAAATATTGTTTTAAAGCAATTGCGAACATTGGTACAGGAAGCTCTCAAATACTCAGATGGAAAAAATTTGAAAGGAGAAGAGTTAGTGTTTTTAATGCGCCACAATAAACAAAAAATGAGAAGTTTTGTGAAGTATCTCATCAATAAGCAAACCAAGTCAGCAATTCAAAAAATGCAGACGAATGTGGTTGAAATCGATAAGATCCAAAAACCAAAAGGACCCCTGATGGAGTTCATTGAGAGAATTGATGAAACTGGTGAATTTACAGATTTGAGTGAATTTGATGAAATTAAGTACCAACGCCAGCTGCGTGCCGATAGGATCTCCTTAGCATTAGATGAAAAAAAATATCTGGAATTTTGTAAAGCTCGATGTGCTTCATTCTGTAGTCGAGATACTACTCAAAGAAGTTTGGAAAAATTGAGACTTTGGGTGGACCCCAAGAAGAAAATCAATTTCAAAGTTGAAGCTTTAGATGTATTGGCTTATTATGCTTATCAGACTGTTGCTGAAATAACTGATTACGCACTTCTTGTTAGAATGGATTCAAAATGTGGAACTGACCCACTGAAGCACTTACCAGGATCATATTATACTGCTACTATGTTTAGTGGTAAACATAGATTTGAGGAACCTAACCCAGACTACAGTAATGTTCACAGTAGTCAGCCTCCAATAAGTGTCAATGAAATCAAAGAGGTAATGAGAAGGGTTACATCTCCTCAAGCTGGAAGATTGAGTTTTGGGGGAAAGCTGCCCGAGACACATTTTTTATTTGCCATTTGATAAATCAATTCTTATTTACCTATTGCAGACCAATCTAGTTATTTTCAAAAACTTCTAATCAATTACATTTTCAAATTTCTTCAATATTTCAATTGTAAGGGAGAATAAATACCCAAATTGCATTATTGTAAGAAGTAAACTGAATAATTGGAGAGGAATATCGCAAAGTGATTTGTCCAGAAAATAGTACTGTACAGTGAGATTTTTATACAAACCCTTATTAATGTTTGATGTGCTGTTTAGTAAATTGTTTATGTAAAATTCCGAGAATGAAATGGTTTAAGTAATTATTTAACGAGTTTTCAATTAGTTTTTGGAAATGAAAAAATTCTCAATAACTTTTGCCCAACATTTCCTCAATATTTGGTGTGTAAATCTATTATTATTATTATTATGTGATTTTGTCGAATGAATATTGTTTGTTATTTGTGTAGTTTCATTTTTGATAAAATACTTTTTAGCTGGAACAAAAATTATCGAAAACAACTATTTTCAAACATAGTGTCTCCACAGTGTGTTGAAAGAAAAAATTTACTCTTTATTTTAGGCAAAAAAGGCATTCTCCATAAAAAGTTCTGCAAAGAATAATACCAAAAATTCAACCATCTTCTTCTATTCGCAGACATATTGAAAATCTGTCCACATTTTGCTATTGGCACTTGATGTCAATATATCCATGAACCTTTTATACAGGGTGTCATCTGACTTGGGCCACCCCCATCTTTGAATTTTTAAATACGGACCTGTATTTTCTGTTGTAGTTTTTGGATCGTAGACGTTCACTTCATACTGAGAAATTAAATTNAACGCAATCAGAACTTGCTCTTCCATTCAACCGTCTTCATAACAATAATTACAAATGAATTCTAATCATTAACCACTTATGCTATCACCTATCCTTATTTCGTTCAATGAACGACAATGAAAAAACAATAAGAAAAATAGAAAAATGTTGGCTAATTATTTTACCTAGAAACAGATATTTGCATGTATATACACATAGGCATTTATATACCTACACACATATAAGTAATATAAAATAAGTAAAAGTAATATTAAAAAAATGCATCTACTTGCGGCTTGTTGAAGTTTTGGGCTCTCGCAGCTGAAGTCGCTGTTGGTTTTCTAAAATATATAAAATAATCACACAAAATATTTACAATGTAAAATTCAAATTCATATATGTATGAATAAAAGTTGAAAACTAATACATAACAATTTAAAACAAATTTATAATATGAAAGGGACACATTATGTAATATTATGGTTTCATATAAATTATTGCTATCTATGCATCATAGTAATATATGTATAAATAAATAAAATTCAGAAGCAATATATCACAATGCTAAATATTCTTTAGTTTATTTTTGAATAATTCCAGGTGTGTATCTCTCAATTCGGTTGTCAATTTATTAAAAAAGGTTTATTCCTAAGCAATTGCGATTAGAACTAGCACAATTTTTTTCCTTGGTGTAATCGGCATCGACTACATTGGTGATTAGCCTCGTGTCCTGGGTAGGCAATGTTAATAACTCCCTGGGCCACCTAGGGAGCATCATGACTATTCGCAGTCCGTCAGCCATGTAATGTTGCAGAATCATCCCAACTTCAACTAGATAAATTATCTCGAGAAAAATATCTGGTCGAGGTTGGGATCGAACTCACGACCTTCCAGCTGTGAGTCGGGCGCACTACCACTGCACCAATTCACCATTAACTAGCTAATTTATGTTACGGAATCAGCAGGTTGTTTTTATTATGTGTGTTATAATTATGAATATCACTATAAGTGTCGAATAGTTACTGATATTTTCTTTTACATAGGTATACCAAGTTAGTATATATGACTAACCAAGATAATGTCAATAGGTACCCAAGGTTGCTATCCAGGTGAATTCCTAAAAACTTCAGTATCATGTCCCTGGTTTGAGAATACCATCGAAGCCGATTTCTCTCTATTGATATGTAACTTAGTTACATTGAACCCCTCAGTACCTGTCTCGATTATGTCTTGGGCAATTGCGGCTTTCTCTTCTATTATTATTTACATGAAAAATGTTGTGCCGTCGGCTTATAAGATAGTTTTCATATTCATAGAAGAGGGCAAATCGTTTATACCTACATATCAGAAGCAGCAAGAGCTCCAGAACACTGCCTTTTGGTACTCCATATTTTATTGAGGCTTGTTTGCTGAATTTGTTTTCATGGTACACAGATTCTATACTATTTTTCACATAGGATTGCATCAACTGCAAATATATACCTACCTCTGAAGCCATAGTATTCAAGCTTTTCTAGTAAAATATTTTGTGAGACACAACGGAAGCTCTACTCAGATCAACAGTACTCTGCCAAGGTCGCTACCTCATCCTCGAATCCCCCTCACGGTTGTCTGCGTCGAAATCCCGCCAACCATTTATTGCCTGTCCTTTTTTGTTATCAAAATCATGATGAATATTATTCACACGTTAAAAGGTAAGACCTCGTTAGTCCTTAGCTCGCACACGTTTCTCAACTTCTTAGAGTTATCGTTCGTATGGGGGCGACAGCTGATTAACGGAAAAACGGATTTTTAACAGATTTTTTGAACAGATATGCGATTGGGTTACAAATTAAAAATCGATTTTGAGAATACAAATATTATGAAAAAACACATACTTGAAGATTTCTAAATGACATACCTAAATGCTAAGCTTCAGCTTGGCAAATTATTTTTGTTAGTAATGATATAGATACGAAAGAAATTCCTGACAATTTGAATAGTAGGTACCTAATGACATCAATATACATTTTACTGGTTCAACAAAAAAATGTTACCTCAGTGGGCGAGGAGTTACTAACTTGTTCGATTGATGACCTATTTATTTTGTAGAAATTCGTATTGAATATGGAATTAAGAAAATAACTTTTAGTCTAATTTCTACTAAGTATATTATTTGTTATGACCGGTTTCGGGTTATTAGACTATTTTCTAGTTAGTCGAAAGTGTTAGGAATCATACGCTAAAAGGTAAGACCTCGTTAGTCCTCAGGTCGCACAAGTTTTGACTTCTGAGGGTTGTCGTTCGTAGGGGTGCGATAGCTGGTTAACGGAAAAACATATTTTAAACATAAACATTTATTATCTTATTTTGAAAGGTTTATCCTTTGTACAAAAATTTAAAACTTTTATGTGGTGTTGGTGGAGGTCAGAAACAGTTTCTTACCACTTTCCGAATCAATAAGTTCAGCCATTTATTCATCAGAATGTAGCTAATTTTATAATATCACTGCTATTGCATATTTTTTTATTCCTTTGATGGATAACAATAATATATTATTGTTTTGAATTGTTGCTGATATAAGTCATAGAAAAAGTACAGTATTCTACCCTGAGAAATTATTCGCTCGTTGACTTGTTATTGACTACATGTAAAATTTTTCAACTTTACTTTTTGAGTGAAACCACTAGTGTTCAATTTCTCATTAGCACCTTTTTAGATCACTTTGAAAGTGATACAACTAAGTAATTGATTCAATACCAACCATAGAAACTACGTTTGATTGAAACGGGTATTTTTTTTATGAAAGCTTAGTTCTATTGAAAACATTTTTCAATGCTATCTCTCGACGGGCGTTTCGCTAACCAAGATAGCACCATCAGTAGATGACTGAAACCCAGTTGATGTTAACTTGGTGCTGATTGCTAACTGATGATGTAAGCGAAACGCGTATCGAGAGGCAGCGTTTTTGTTCTCGCGAGAAAAAAGGAAAATCGATTCAGCCGTTCCAAAGTGATTAACAGGTATATATATTCGTTTCAAGAATCTGCAAGCAAACGATAAATATGATAGTTTCAACAGAAAATGCATTCCTAATTTACACGAATTCATTTCTTAAATTACGAAATGTTCCTGGGGTAATTTTTGTTGCAAACACCTCTTTTTTCATCCACAAGTTCTAAAATGAACTGTGGTTACATACTGTACATGTGTGATGTGTCACGTATCCCTACAAAAATATCTAGAGGCGCCAAATCAGGTGATCCAGTGGACCATTTTAAGGGACCACGTCTGCCTATCTACCAGTTAGGAAATTTGACAAAACCTAATGAGTTTTCAACTGATGTTACGTTCCAGCGAGATGAATTACCTTCTCATTACGGAACGCTGGTTTAAAAGTGCCTGAAAATTATCCAAATTGGCCGATAGGCCTCCTAGATCACCTGATATGACGCTTCTAGATGTTTATGAGGCAATGTATGACATCTGAAGTGTATGATATATAACCGCCGTTCATTTTAGAACTCGTGGATAGAAAAAGAGATTTGTATTACCTCAGGAACATTTCATAATGTAAGAGATACATTTGTAAACAGACATTATAGGAAGACAGTAAAAATTAAATTAGCCAGGCGGTTTGACGTGGGTGCTTTGTTTTTCTCTCGAATTGGCTGCCGTGTTGGTCGGTGGTCCAAGCCTTCGTTTGAACGAACGATTTTCATTTGCTATCGTTCAACCCGTGTTAGGAATTACACGTTATAAGGTAAGACCTCGTTAATCCTTAGCTCGCACAAGTTTCAAATTCCGAGGGTTGTCGTTCGTAGGGATGCGACAGCTGGTTAACGGAAAAACAGATTTTAAACAGAACGAGGTATCACGAGACCCCCGTTTCCATTTAAAAAAAAAGAAGTTGGTAACACCTTCGGTGATGAGTGATGCACAAAGTAGTGAAAATGAAGTCTTCTCACGTAAATTTTATCCGACTTTGAAACCTTGTTCAGTTTAAAAGTCAAGATTGAGAGGCGACTATTATTCCGACTGATTTTGACCAATATATTTCGATGTATCTATTGAAATGTTGTTCGAGGATGGATGGTATTCAAAAATACCAATGTTTAATCAATGAAAAACAGCACCAATCGAATCAGACTGTAGCCGTTTTAATAAGTTGGTTCTTTTACAGGTAGGTGCCGCCATCGGACAACAATCGAAAATCGCCGCGCAATCGCTACGTTTACCAATTTATTCATACAGTTCTGCGCGTGCCGTAGTTGTGGTTAGTTGACTTTCTCGTTCCGAGTTTCGAAGTGTTTGTTTGAAAATGGCGTTCAATGGAGATGGTCCTCACTCGAAAAGACAACGGACAGAAACTGATTCTATTAATAATAGAGTAAGTCCTTCAAATATTTGAAATATGTAGAAAATGCATAGGTGCATGCATATTTTGCTTGATAGGTTATGAACGGCCCCTTCCCTCGTAAAAATACTGTCAAACTGTTTTGAATCACTAACTGTGCAAGAAATTTTTAAAGAAAATCTTGAAGCAAGTCCAGTTTCTGTCATTTTTGTTGATGAATAATTTCCGATGTCAGTCGTTTCTGTCATTTTAAGTGTTAAATAATTTTCGACGTCAGTTCTACAGAGCTGATATGATTTGTTTACTTGGAAAAAATATAACTGAACTCAGCCGGTTTTATTTTTTTTCTAAAAATGAGATTTTTTGGAAAAATCATCTATCCAAAATGTTTCAGAATAAAAAAGGTATTTACATAATCCTGACCAGTCATCACTAGCTTAATGATTTAATCACAAATCATGAACTTTTAACCGGAAAACTTCAATATGGTTGGATTTTGATCCAAAATAGTTTTCACGGTGATTATATATACATATCCATTTATATTTTTGATTGTGTACGGTGCGAAGCTATAAAGATAAGATCAACGCAAATTTTACCAATTTTTGACAGTTCACATGAAGCCCCTTGGTGTCAGAGCCTTCTACTCCTATAATTTGTTTGTTTTCATCATTTTGTCAAGTATGTACTGTGTTGAATATATTTGAGGGAATACAGATTAGAATATTGATCTCTAGTGTGCTAGCATGAGAACAAACGATTTGACATTTCTTTCTGTCAGAACAAACTTAGTGAGATAACTGCGTTAAATTTCATCACAAGATAAAACAATTGGAATTATTCGTTTGTCGAAGTAGCAGACGTTGCTTGATACATTCCCAACTACTCCAATTACTCATGGAAAAAGAACCGCATCGAATGCTGTTGTCAATTAAAGTGGTAGTTAATTTTACCAGTTTGGACTTCCATTGTATAATATGATATAATATGATTTGAAATCTTTGGAGGAACCAATAAAATCGAATGAAATAATAAAATTAAAATGAATGCTGAAAATAACAATTATATTAATTAATAAACATGAGTTCCCGCCCGCTCAAGAACATATACAGGAATCCTTGTTATGGAAAGGCGTAAACTTCGCCATTGCACCAGCGTCTGTTCCCACTTTGGATATAATTACTGCATGGAATCCACCAGTTTCCTTATTGGTCAGACCGAAGCAGTAACATTTAGATGGAAAATCAAAGAACAGCTGGATCGAGAACCAGTTCCAACATCTAACATCAACGATAGAGAACTAAGATCTCTGAACGGCCTACGAAGATATACCATCATCAAAATCATATCTGCAGATAAGGGAAACACTACTGTTATGATGAATACCGATCTCTACGAACAAAAGATGGAAGATGTTTTTCATAACGGGCAATACACGAAGATTGTACGGGACCCTACGGCATCAATTGAAAGTAATTTGTACCAGACTTAGAAAAAACGTTGAGTCTATTTTCGGAAAAGGAAAGATCATCGCCATCACCGCACCACAGAAAGCCCCTTCATCTGTATGGACTACCCAAAATCCACAAGAAGGGTGTCCCGCTCGGCCCGATCATTATTTCTAGAAATTCAGCTACTTAAAACTTGTCCAGGTTTTTACTTCCAATTATGCAACCACTACAAGGAAAAACTTCATCTTTTTGTTTCGACGTGGAAAGTCTTTACACCAATGTTTATGTCGAAGAAGCACTTCAAATCATACTTAGCAAGCTATCCGAAGACGAGGACTTGGAAGATAGAACGAACTCACCTATAGAAGTAATCATGGACTTACTAGTATACTGTGTATGGAACTGCTATTTCCAACTGAATGAAGAATTCTTGACGCAAGATGAAGGACTGCCAATGGGATCGACACTTCCACCAGTTATAGCCAACATATATATGGAATGGTTTGAAACTCTGGTCATTGAAGAAGCCCACACGTTTGGTTGAGATACGTTGACGATACCTTCGTAGTATGGAACCATGGGAATACAGAAATAGACATCTTTCTGAAGGACATCAACAGCGTAAAACCTTCCATCACCTTCACAATGGAGAAGGAAATCCACAACGAATTGCCATTCTTGGATGTATTGGTGAAGAGGACCAACACTAAGTGGGAAACATCTCTATATCGTAAACCGACTCACACGGGCCAGTATCTGAAACACAAATCTAAGCATCATTAATCTACCAAAAAGGAATCATCAAGACTCTAGTAAATCTTGCTTTCGGGCTCTGTAATACAAAAGAAGGTTTCGAGAAGGAACTAGGAATCATCAAAAAATATCTTCAACGAAATGATTACTCCAAAGTGATGGTGGAACAGATTTTGACTTTGAGACAGCAAGAGCCTCACAAGAAAGATAATCCGTCACAACTAGTGCTTGCCCTTTCATACGTCAGAGGATTCTCGGAAAGGATAAAAAGAATTGGTTCCAAATATAACATCAGAACCTGCTTCTGATCCGGAAAAAGCTTTCTCAAGAGTTTATGCTCTAGGAAGTTATTGTATAGCGAAACACGTGTCGCGGTTTTTGTAAAACCCTTTATAGTGAAAATTATACAATAAACTGTATTGATAATTTTTTTTTCTATTCATTTTAATTCATTTCAATTCATCCTATATCATATTAGATGGAATGGAAGTCCGAACTAGTAAAATTCAGCATGAAACATTGTCAACGATTTTCAAACGAAAGAAGTAGTGTTATCAAAATATCTGAAAAAGGTCAACCTCGTTGAATACATCGATATCCCAAGGATAACGCTACATTGGCGGCAAATTGAGAACATTCACGTATAAGCCTTTGAGATTTGTCGTCTCAACTGAATATAACCCAGGATGAACTCAGAAGATGCTTCATTTTCCACAGGATCGAGTCTTATTAAACTGAAATTCTTGCATATATCGAAAATGAGCGAAGAAACAAAACATTACTTTTATTATTGTTATTGGGTTTGAGGTCACCGATTTGGAACCCGTTCAGCAAAAAGGTCAGATAAAAGCCGCAGAGATCACACCTCACTTCTGCGGAAATACAAAGATAAGCCAATGCATGTGGTCTTTTTCAATAACATTGGAGACCTGGGCTTATCAAAGCGCCTGAGTTTCGCTTTCCTCGAGTGGGCTGAAGTTGAAAACTGAGGGGTTCATCATGGCTTGCCAGGATAGTGTCTTCAACATCTTAGTCTATCGCAGTCGCGTGATGGGTATAGGGGTTCCTGACACAAGGTGCAGGGCCTGCCGCGAGGCGCCCGAGACCATAATGCACTTGCTATCAGCATGTCCAGCATATGCGGTCTCGGCCTATATCCATCGACATAACGCGGCCCTAAGAGTGTTATATTCCCATCTACGTCACTCTTAAGGTATAGACGAGACACCGGCGTTGCCCTACGCTTCGGGGGATATTGAATCCGTTGTGGGGAACGAGAAGTGCCAAATTTATTGGAACTATTCGTTCTCCACCCTCAGGCTCATACAAGCTAATAAGCCCGATGTAGTCCTTCTCGACCACCAGAGCAAGACGATAATTGTCGGGGAGTTTTCAGCTCCTGACGAGACGAATATCGTCAGAAAAGAGGAGGAAAAACGGATAAAATATAGAGATTTTCTCTTCGAACTCCGCAGACTCAGACCACTCTGTCAAGATGGTTGTTTTGATTATTGGAGTCCTTGGTGAAATGATGCCCTTTCTACTCTCGAATCTTGAAATCATACCGGCTTGCCGCACTAAGGCAGAAATCTTAGCCGCACAGATGCAGAAGGCTATCTTTCTTGGCTCACTGCGCTTGCTCATGGCACATGATTTTCGGACCCAATTATAACTTACCCCACGTTGGTTGATAATGCTGGCGCGCCCTCCTGAATGTATCGGGGCTTTGGGGATAGGACCTGACCAGTGCATACTTCGGTAAAAAAATAATAATATTAAACGACTTTATTGCTTCCATATATAGAATGAAAAGAATACATTTAAAATATGAATTTGGCCCAGAGCAAAAGGCAAAGTTCAGTTTATGAGATTATATAAAATCAGCTCATAAACTGTTCTTCCACTTAACCTTAAGTATATCGCTAGGTGTGTTGAACTTAACAATATAAAAGAATAAAAGTTCAACAAATTACAGCTATTTTTAATCTAATTTCCATCGTACGTATATCAGGATTACATTGAAAACAAGTGTTTGTTATAGGCCTTCTTGAATCTTTGCAAACTGTAGGATTTGAACATGATAGGGACCTGATTGTATATTGAACATATTTGATACATAACTACGTCTGAATATTTCTAATCTGAAGATTGGCGGTGAAAGGGTTCCTTTATATCGGATATTTAGATTATTTATGTCGGATCGATAGGTGATTTTTCTGTGCAAATATAAGGGTGTTTTATAGAAAATAATTTTTTGAAAAAGAACAGCGGCATGTAATCTCCTATTGCTCATATTTAGCCAACTATCATCTTTCAATTTGTGCATGTGAAATATGTTGTCTTCTGCGGATAACAAATATTATTCGTAAGGATAAGTTTTGTACTTTTTGTATTTTTATTTGATATTGGCTGGACAAGAATGGACCGTAGAGTACATCTGCATTATTAAATATGGACAGTATGAATCACTCACACAAATTTGATTTCATTCGAATAGGGAGGAAATATCTACTGCCATATATAGTTTTGAGAGTGAAGTATGCAATATTATACCTAAACTTTTAGCTTCACTTACGTTTTAATGTACTTCATTTTTTATTACAATACTTATATTGTCAGAAATCTCATCTCGTTTGTTTTTGTTCACAAAAAGAATAAAATAAGGTTTACTGCAATTAATACTAAGACAGTGATCTCCTGCAACTTCAATAAACCTATGCCTCATTCATGAGGTCACATGACTCCACACCTCAAGCCCAAAATCGACACCAAACCGTTACTTTTTGGGATGCATTGGACGCTCCTGGATCTAATGTAGATTCGTATCGTTCCAAATTCAACAATTTTGTTTGTTCACGGACCCATTCATCCATACATCCATTCATACATCGTTGTCTATGGTCGTTTACCTTCAGTTCCTGGCTTAGTAGAATTTTGTACAAGTGCAGGCCCAAGTCACGACGTAAAATTCGCCAAGTTGTGATCTATGAAAGGAAAATTTCTTGTGAGCAACGCGAAATGGACTGCCTCGGATGCTCCTACACACTCTCACAGACAGCGGCGATGTTTTCGGCAGATCTTTTTATTCGACGTTAAGACGACGAATGGATGTTGGTCTATCGTTCACTAAACCAGTGGACTCAAATTTATCCACGACATTGCTAATAGTCCTCTCGGTAGGACGATTATGTCGACCATGAAATTGGGAAGCGCGCGGTATGTTGCCCGAACAAGAAGACCCATTTTGGTGCCAAAATCTTTCTCAAAAACCAATCTCTTCAAAAATATACCCATTTCAATCTCTCAGATTTTTTGGTTATTTTCTGTTGGTTCTCGAATTATGCAGATATGATCTTTTTCTCGATCGATCCTATATTTTCCATTTTATCTTCTCCTATTCTCATTTATGCTGATTTTTTGGGAACGATTTCCACCTTTCTTGGAATGTTCAGAATTGAAAACACGTGGTTTGATTNATAATAGGCTTTGACTTTGATGTGTCTGAATTTGACTTTCAATTTGTTACACTCAATGACATTTTGTTATTGTACAAGTCATTGAATTTTTGGCGAAAAATGACTTTCACGAATGAAGAAAAAAAGAGATATGATACAAATTTACTACAAATACAATAGAAACAGTGTTAGGACATCGGAAATGTATTTAAACTTGTATCCCGAAAGGCGACAACCACATCGAATTATGTTCAAGTTATTGGATCAAAATCTTACTGAGTTTGGTTCATTTGAAAAGCCGAGGAAAAAATACGGAGACTATTTGGATGATCTACCTTTGGCTAACTATAACAGCATCTGGTTTTAACATGATGGTGCTCCACCGCACACTAACACCTGACTGAAAGGTGTTATGGATGTTACGGGTGTTATGGATACATTATTCTGGGGTACACTGAAAAATAGAGTTTAAGGTCAGAGGGAATATCAAAATATTGAGGACCTTCAACACAGCATTGCTAGAGAGTTCGAAAGATTGAGGAGGAGGGAAATTAATCGTGCAGTGAATAATATTCGAAGAAGAGCACATTGTGTTATCATGAACAACGCCAGCATTTTGAGTTGTTGCTGTGATTTACTTTTGTCTTTACATTTTAGTTAATTATTGTTATTTGTTCAAAGTTCTATTTTCATTGAAAATGACACAATTTATTTACCTCATACACACCTCGTTTATCAAATTTCATTGTTGATTCTGTCTCCGTATTTTTTCTTCGGTTTTTCAAACGAACCAAACGATCCAGTAACTTGAAACTAGTTCGATGTTATTGTTGTCTTTCGGGATAAAAGTTTAAATACATTTTTGTTGTCCTAAGACTGTTTCTATCGTATTTGTAATGAATTTGTATAAACTCTCTTTTTCCTTCATTCGTGAAAGCCATTTTCTCCCAAAAATCCAATGAATTGTACAATAACAAAATGTCATTGAATGTAACAAATTGAAAGTCAAATTTAGAAACATCAAAGTCAAAGCCTATTATGATAAGAAATAATTGTTTTCAATATCTCCAATTTTTCGATAAAGAATGATAACTTATGATACATCATTGAAAAGGTGAAATCTGGTTCTATTCAAAACAGAAAGAATCCAATATAGCGCCCATTAGAAAAAATAAAGTTGATGATGGTGGCCGAAAGACGAAACGTCGGATATCAAATCTGAAAACACATTATGTAGCACGGGAAAAGTGACATTGTGGAAGTGCAATTTATTTTCGAATTCTTCGAAAAATATAGCCCGAAAAAAATAAAAACCATTTTCCGAAATTTCTGTTTTTTTTCGGATATCTCCGGATATACTGGAATTTCAGAATCAACGGCATATTGTTAGTCAGCTAAATGCGCAACTTTGCCGCAATTTAACCATCTTCGTATTTCTCATAGTTTCCGAGATCCCAATGGGGAGGATCGAATTTTAAAGACCCTGTATGTAGAGCAGAATCTCGCTGAACATTTCTTGGCGGGTTCAGTTATCAAAATCTTGGGTATCACCGAAAAATGAACATAATTGAAGATTGGGAAACAGAATTATCCTGAATTTAAAGCTTAGAGAAAAACTCAAATTTCAGAGTTGTTTTGCTAGCTTAACAGGGTCGTTTCAGTTTCTTAAGTTATTTATATTGGGCTTTTTTGCGGAATAATTCGTAAATAATATTACTTTATTGAGATTGAAGGAATTCAGAAAAAAGGTTTTAACTAAGGTGGCAATGCTTTAAGCAAACTCGAATTACTCGAGTTTTTTTAAAAAAAGTGAAATTTCATTCATTTCCGATACAGGGTCAACTTTGTAGAGGGTGGGTAGAATCCAAATTCAGATTTTTATATATATATCGGTGCAGTTTGACATAATTTTACAGTATTGCCGTGTTTTACATTCTATAATTAGACTCTACACCAAAACATCATTGTAATTATTTTTTTATGTTTCAGACAAATGCTGGCTTCGGTGCGTCATCAGATGAGCCACGCAGAAAGAGAGCAGACGATACAAAACCAAATCACATACTGCTCTTCACAATAATAAATCCCATGTACCCCATCACAGTGGTAAGTGCATTCAGGCGTTTATCAGATTTTATCGACGGAGCAGGGTAATTCCGTAAAATCGTGTTTTTAGTTATTATTGAACGCTTTTGTTACGAATGTTATGCTGTAGCGGCCTCAATCATTGAGAGGCTTCTGCCGGCATAACTTTATGGATCACTTGACTATTGCGAAAGCTTCTCATTGAAGAAGCTTTCATTTTTCCAATGTAGATTAACTATGAAAATTTTGTTAGAATAGAACAAAACTGAGAAGGAATTATCAAAATATCTCTACAAATGAGAAAGTTATCGGCAATTGACGTTGCGCCTGCAAGAATGATTCCGTCAGGCGTGTGACTCATTCTGCTCATATCGTTTTTCATTAATTATCTCTGGTCGAACCTGAAAAATACTCTTACAAATATTTTATAGCAACAGTTGCGATTGCTAGATCGGATGATGTCAGCTGCCAGTCGTTCTACGCTAAAATACGAAAAATTCTATGATCTATTTTCCTAGTGTACATTCTTTTACTGATTTCACTGTTTTGTTTTATATTTTGAGTTCAATTAGGTTGATCTGTCATTAACAATGCCGTCAAACTCCTCAAACTTTTAGCAGCGTATGACGGGTTGGCATAAACATTCATGTAATTGAATTACGTTTATATTCCGTCAAGTACGCATTTCGAACTGTGCGTTCGAGTTTTTTTGTTGTTTGTTGAAATTGTTTGGTTGTTGTTCATTTGGAATGATTTTTTCAACGACTTTGCTCGTACCAGAATAATAATAATTGCAGATGAAAAATTCAACAACACTGCGGGTTTTAGATTACTTACTTGCAGTGGCGTAACTACAGGGTGGCAAGCCGGCAAAATGCCACGGGCTCCCAGTCAGAGGAGAATCCCAACCCAAATACGGTGTATGTCCATTGTACCGCTCATAATTTCAATTTAGTATTAAATGATGCAGTAAAAGAGGTCATAGAAATACAAACATTATTCAAAACTGTGCAACAAATTTATAATTTTTTGGGCCATAGTATTAAACGATGGAATATATATTATCTAGTTCTATATCTGACAGACCGGGGTATAATCAAATTCAGTAAAATTAAAAACAATGAATCCAACTAGATGGGCAGGACACTAATTTTTCAAGTCATTTTGACTACTCTATGGGCCCATATCAATTAAATGCTAACTGTACTTTAAATTAGGTATTTTTAATTTGAATTATTAGAAAATCAAGTACCTAAGTATAATTATAAAGTTTGTATGTACCTACTTAACGTAGTGATGTATTATTGTACTCTTACAAGTAAAAGTCTATAAATAAGTATTATAAAATGAAAAAATAGTATTATTGTTGGTTCAGCTTCTTTATATTGGGGGGAGGGGGCCCATCCAATGAATTTTCCAGATGCCTCGAACGGTATAGTTACGCCACTGCTTACTTGAGTCTAGTTTTGACCTGTAGTTCAATTTTAGATATAAGTTATAAAAAATTGAAATTTCTTCTTGCTGGACCGCATTTGCTGGACATGATAGCAAGTGCATTAGGGTTTCGGACGCCTCGCGGTTGGACTTGCACCATGTGTCAGGAACCTCTATACCCATCACGCGACTGCGGTAGACTAAGGTGTTGAAGACACCATCTTGGCATACCATGCTGAACCCTTTAGTTTCCGACTTCAGCCCACTCGACCTGAGGAAAGCGAAAGTCAGGCGCTTTGATAAACCAAGGTCTCCAATGGTATTGAAGAATACCCCATGCATTTGCTTATCCTTGTGTTGACGCAGAAGTGAGGACGACTTGGAATGCAAACCCCTATAGGGATGAATCAGTTTCTGGTCTTTACGTCGAGTAGATACAGCTCCTCCCGAGTCCACTTCACTACTCAAAACGAATAGTGTAAGATTAAAATGACTAGCACATCTGTTGCAGCAACTTAGTTCTTTCCCGACAGTTCCGAAGATCAGATCTGTCGGAATTTGTGCTGATAATTGCCGCGGAGAGAGTTCTTCACTGTTGTTACCTCTTGTGAGTAGCGTTGTTCTACCACGAGATAAGTATGCGTCTCTCCGGCAACCAGATGGTGTAGGATGCTTCTACTTACGAGCTGCACATCCTTTCCGTAGTCCCCGCATCGACCTTTTTAGAGATGGACCATTGCACATTTGTCTATCTCGAATTTCATACCGATATCATTCGTGTATTCTCCCACCACCCTCAAAGACTGATGGAGACCCTTCTCTCCAGTGGAAACAAGTTTAAGATCATCCTTATAAAACAAATGGGTGATCTTGTGCCTCCGGTTTCCGGGGGTACCACAGTGCAACGGATAATGGCAATAGTGAGATGCAGAAGAGAAGGCGACTAAGGGAATCGCCACGAAATACACCCATTCTGAAAGTGACCCACCCTGTTTGGACTCTGCCTTGACTAGATGTTATGGTGAAGCGAGTCCGCCATAGTGGTATCAGTTGTTCAAGGTATCTCACTATTTTGTCAGGTACCGCAAGGCATCTGAGCAAATGCAAGATGAGCTCATGAGATGTTGTATCGAATGCCTTGCGCCACTAGCATTCGTATCACATATTGGATACGAGACGTGTGTTGTTTCGCTAATGTGACCTTGGCCTCCATCTTGTGTAAAAGCCGTTCAATCTTCCGCAAGGCTGGGATTTCGTCGGAAAGCGATTGGACGACGCTATGCACGGCGGTGTTGATTTGTAAGATGTCTTCCTCTTCTATTAGAACACTATGAACCTCCGCAACAAGCCAGTTCTTGTAGCTCCAGAAACCTTATTCTGTGGAGCGCCCTGCTCTCTAGCCGTGCTAACCGGTAACTGTCACTTCTACCATTTACTTAGCAGGCTGGAAAGGAGCTATATGGCCCTGCCGCTATATCAAAAATAGGGATTTTGATCAAAAGAAGGATGACCTTGAAAATAAGATTAGGGTCGAATCGTTGTGACTTGTTGTATTTTGGTTTTTAGGAGTTCTCATACTTTTTTCTCACTCAGTATGAGCGACTAACAAAGTAAGCGAATGATAAGTGAGGGTTGGCGGATGTCTCGAGAAATCCCCGAACATAAATGATGTTAGTAATCGCCGAAATTATTTTATCATTTCAACTTATATCTTAGAATGAAATGAAGTTTTACATGTGAACTCTTTTATTAGGGTCACTACTCAGAGTTGCCCTGCTCGCCACCCCCATAAGGCCGCCTCTGTATGTGCACATGCACGTAATGGAAACATGATATTTATTTCATGAACTCTGAAACGGCATTGCGATCCGGATTACGAGATATTTCATTTTCAAAAGATTAACATTATTCGATGTTAGTAAAACCAATGTTATCTGGGATTACAATGCCGTGCAAACTTTTCCTGAAGCTCGCTCGATTTTTTTCACAAACAACATTGTTACCCCTCAGGGTGTGACCTATTTGTTTCCTTTGTCAATAAAAACATTTTAGGGGCTGGATAAACTGAAAAAACAGTGATATGCGACATACGAATATACAGGGTAATTCAAAAACGATAATAACCTCAGTATTTCAGATCAAGAAGTCAATATCCAAAATTGTCGAAACATATCGATTTCTGAACTGAAGAAGAAACTAAGCAAAGAAGGGAAGCTGTGTGTTACATATATCTGGCGAAGACGTTTGATAAAATGAAGAGGGACCATGTTTGAAAAACCTTACAAGAAAACGGAATTCACAAAGAAATGTCTGATATCTTGCAGGCTTTATACGAAAACGAAGATTTTATTGCAAAACGAAGAATCTATATCTATAACTTACCTAACAAATGTAGGTGTAAAACACGGATGTGAACTTAGTTAGCCCTTTTCTCTTCTCATTACATGAAAAAATGTACAATAGGAAATTGCAGGGTGAAAAAGTTGAATCAAGGGAACTATTGTTTGCCGATGATATGGCCATTGGAGTAGGTTCAGAAAAAAACCATAACACAATGAGAAAATTATTTAATGTAGCACTCGAGAAGATAAACAAAAATGACGAAAACTATATTTATATCAACAAAACAACAAATACAAAATGTACATAGGAGGTAAAGAAATAGAAAACGTATAACTATAGTTATACGTAAGTAGACCCTAGGATCAGGTTCACTAAGATAAACCCCTAATAAGCCTCACTGTCTTAACTATTCAAAATGAGTTTTCCCATTAATATCTCTACTCGACCTCCACTAGTAGTTTAGTTGGCAAGTGCAATTTCAGTTCGTCTACATCGAGGTGTCATTCGATTCGTAACTTCACACAGAGTAATTCACGATTTGGGTCATATTGTGCTGATAAATAGTTTAAATGTTATAAAGTGCATTCCATTTAAAACGAGCCACCCTGAATAACTTTTGGTACAATGATTTTCAGGAAAAATAAAAAACACGTCAACAATAGTATACACTTTTTGACATATTCACATTTGATATTACTTCCCCAATCGCACCCCCAAAACATGTCACTAATTTTTTTTTAAATGGATCACCGTATATTGTTTCACATTATCAGATGCTCCATGATGAGCAGATTTCAACAAAGTATAAAACAGATAGTTTGAAGCTTATGATTCGGGAGCTACAAATTATTTGAGTTGAAAACGAGCCACCCTGAATAACTTTTGAAACAATGATTTGCAGGAAAAATAAATAAACAGGTCAACAATTATACATGAGGCCACATTTTCAAATATTCGTTCTAGAGGCAAATATGGAAGCAATAAATCAGAAAAAGAATTTTTTTATTAATTCTTGAATCAAAATCTGATGACTGGCAAATGAGAAGAAAAAAAATTCTATTTCTATGCAATGCCTCATGATATCCTCTCTCAAATCTTCTAATGTTGTTGATTCTATCTCATACACTTTTAGACTTCAGATGACCCCATAGAAAAAAATCTACAGGAGTGAGATCCGGTGGCCATTCTGTAGGACCTGTATGAATATATCCTCAGAGGGGAACCCACTATTCTATCCTTCTGAA